GCCACCGATTATGCACAATCGAATCCCAGCTTCCTTCACCCTCTCTCAGATATCTCTACCATAGAGCCTTTCCACCTCCTCTTCCGTTGTCAGAGGATTGCCATGGTAGCAGGGCAAACTGTGAAGGTGGGCACCCAGGTGGCCACTTTCCCCATAGGATCTCACATACAGAGGCAAACACACCTTTTAGATACACCCTTTTCTGGGTTTGTTTTCACTTCATGTAGCTAAACATGAATTGAGAAAAACGCCAAATAGCAAATGAACCTGGAATTCAGATGAACAGTTTGAGTAAATGAGGTGAATGCATTTTCCCTATTCCCCTCATTTTCAGAATAAGAGTTTGAGTAAATGAGGGGAATGCACTTAATAGTGAAATACAAAATCTGCCTGTTTTCTTTTGACATTCCTAATGGTCTGTCCAAATGCATTCCTTATTATACTGTACTTTCACCATGTAAATTAAATAAGTATGCATCCTCGCACTCAGACTTACTTACATTTTCTTGCTTCACAATTGCCACCTTATTTATATGTATGTCCCTGGTTTGAAAAACAATTTTAAAACTTTAATGTCCTGAAATAGTCAGTAGAGTTAGCTCAGATTTACAGAGAGGCAGCTGCAAATTTACCTCTTACTTCAAACTTATCAAATTGTCAAAAGTTTCACTGTATTTTTGCATTGCTGCCTGCTAAAGATGGCATAACAGGTGTGGTTTTTATTGTCTCAGAACAAAATGTAAAAAGATGTATTTTGAAAACATTAGATATTTGATGTGCTTTAAATCACCTCGCAGTACCTACAATCTTATGGGCAGTAAATAAACTCCTGTATAAAGATAAGGAATTTTTGGATCTGAGGATATTTTGGGGTTCAATTTCTATCTTCACTTGAGCCAAAAAAGGCTTAGGGGGTGACAAACCATCTCTGAGTAGGATGTGTTGCTAGGAAATAATTATAATAGTGTGATTTTTTTTCCCATTTCATATCTACCTCCAAGAAATATTTCTGTGGATTCAGTCTTATACACTTAATTTGACTTGGAATTATCTTAAGAATGCTTTTGGGTTGTGTTTCTAGTGCCATCAATAAACTTCAGTTACTTCAATAAGCTAGAGTTGGTGTTTTGATCTCACTGTAGCATTGATGGTATACCTATCATGTTTCAAGTAAGGGTTCATTATATTTAACCAATCAAATCAGAGCCACTTTAATGTTTACATTTTATTTTTTACTGAGTAGAAAAAGAATTACTTTAAAATAAATTTAAGCACAAGTTGTCATACTTTATCAAGTTAAAGATAATTAAGCCCACATACAAATTATAAGTCATAAGCCTTTTGTCCTTTTACATTCAAAAGCACTGGTTTAAAACCCCCCTATTATGTTTCAGTGACTAGTTGTCTATATCTGAGCTTTTCTTTAAGTCCAGAGAATTTATAGCATTAGTCTATTAACACTGTTGCTAACTAATAGAAATATTTCTTCTGAGAACTCAGCTACTGTTCCTAAGAAATCCAGGCTTGTGTCCAGAACTGCATAGGGAATAGTACCTGCAATCCTAGGTTCCTCATCTGGTTACATTTATCATCTCTTTTCTATTGAAGATGAAAAATTCTGGTTACCTTATATGTGAGTGGACTTTTCCGATCAATGGCTTGATTAATGGCTACATAGTTATCCCTGTAGCATGTGCATTACATTTTGAACAAAGTTTCTTTGTCAAATGGTATGTATAATTCTGCTGTAACTGTAATGAGTGGAGGAAAAAAATACTGCGTGAACATGAATCATTTTATAAGACCTAATCAATTCCTGGAAATTGCAGGAAAGTAACAAATTGTATGTGCTAGACATGTAGAGCCAGATGAAAATCTTTTGATTATTGGCACTTTCAATAAAGGGAGGAGAAGCTAATAATGTTTTTAAGGCATATGGTACTCGTATAATCAAGGAAAGTTTCCCTAGCAACAATAATTATATGAGCTTCTTACAACTTCCTCCTCTAATTATCTGTTTTATTAGTAGATGCCTATCACCATCCATTAGGGAACACTTAAAAACATAATGAGACATTGTTACAATGAAGATATATACATGTTGTGTGTGTGTGTGTGTGTGTGTGTGTGTATGTGTATCTCCATATATAGAGGTAAATCTTCACACAACATGGCCTATATATCAAAGTGTGGATGTCCTTATAGCAAAAATAAAACTACTTGCAATTAATATTTTCTCACCATAACAGTATGGAGTTAAGGGAGTTTATAGAGTACATCCATAAAACTTTCATAATCAGTGTCAATAGTCCGATATACAGGATCAAGAATCATAGATCTCAGTGTTAGAAAGGATCCCAAGTGCCATTTGGCTAATCCTCTACCTTTTCACAAATGAGGCAGCTGAGACTCAAAGAAGTTAAACGAGTTACTCAATGTCATTGTGCTATGAATACACGCATACACGTGCATATACTGTCATCTCTCTAAGGCATAAGATGGACACATGTTGTGGGATGGCTTAAAAACAAGTATCCTTATAAGAAAGCCTTCTGACATCTTCAGGAACCAACTCTCCTTGGATGGGGCACATGATAATACTCATATAATTTCTGTTGTATAGCAAACAGCATGTTCAAAAATACCTCAGGACCTAATGCTCCATACTTCTCTAGCTCACTAACCCACTTCTAAGACACAGTATAATGAAAGGGGACTGTGGTAGAGAAATGGCAAGAGTTGTACTCTCTATGCAAACTCTTACCTCCTACAAATTTTGTCAGTTATTTGTCAGTAATCATAGAGGTAGTGGCTCAGAAAATTTCATCAAGAAGAGAGGAGTACAAAGTTCTAAACTTTGCTTTTATGCTTCCCCTCAAAGATTATGTGACCAAGAGAAGCCAGATTTTACAAAAGCAATATAGTAGACACGTTTTCCAATGGTGATCTCAGAGGCTAGGACCAATATCTTGGGATCAGCTAAATGTATTACTGAGATTTCATGGCAAGGAATTATGTTTTAAGGGAGCATGATTTGACTGGTGATATACCCTAATCTAAACCACATTAAAACAGTTTCTACTGTATTCCTCCTGAGGTCTTTTTAAAAGACTAATGAGTTAACCTTTGTGAAGTGCTATGACAGCATCAGGTTAAGCAAGCCTATATCAAGTATCAATTTAGGGCTGCTAACAATACCCAATGTACTTAGAAAAATAGACTGAAAATAATCAGAACGATTCACTGCTGTCCCTTTGGTGTCAGCACGGTTAACATGCTAACAGCTAAGCTTCATATGCTTAGAGGAAGAAAATGATCAATGGCAAAGAGCACATCCACCTTTGAAATGACATGATCCATTATAAGAATCAGATGTTAAATTGCTTCCTGTACTGAGCACAGTCAATTAAAAGTCTGAACAGTGAAATCATCTCAATGGTTAAACATGCTCTGTGGGAACAACCTTCATGGAGCTTAAAAATCACAGAAGGACTATTTCTGCCTTGACGCTAGAGATTTTGAAAGTCTTATTAGGAAGCCTTTTGCCTGAGAGGCTGCTACGTTTTGGGTCATACCTCTCCACCCTTTTGCTTCTGTAAGCAAGAGATGTTTCTAGTCATCTTTTTTCTATTGGGTCTATTATGGATAAATGTGGTCTATTAGTCCGTTTCTGTTGCTTATAACAGAATACATGAAACTTGGTACTTTTTAAAGGAATGAAATTTATTTTTTTACAGATTGGAGGCTAGGAAGTCCAAGTTCCAGAGAATATATCTGGTGAGGGACTTCTTTTTGGTGGTGACTTTCTACGGTAACACGGTGTCACACAGTGAGAGATGGCATGACCAAAAGTAAACTAACAACTTCACTTGCTCTCCTGATAAAGCCATCAGACCATGCCCATTAGTCCATGAAAGGATCAATCCATTCATGAAGATGCAGTCCTCACAATGTAATCACCTCTTAAAAGTCCCACCTTTCAAATACTATAATTGAATTTCCCACCCTCTTAACACTGTTACAATGGAGGTCAAGCTTCAGTGAGTTTTGTGGGGCCAGGAGTGGAACGCTGTGGATTGAATATCCTCCTGAAACTTTGAGGAATCTTTATTTTCCTCACTGATATATCCCAAAAGCATGGCACACAGTATATGTTCAATGAAAATTAGTTTAATAGATGAAAATTTCATATCTCAGTTAGTGACATTACCATTCATCCAGTCTCCCAATGTAGAAATCACAGAATCAGTGAAAATTCCTACTTCCCCTTACACCCATATAGGCACCCAGTCCTATTTGCTAACCTCTCTCAAACATTTATCCTTTCCTCTTCTATGCTCTCAAATTCTCTTATATCAAGTTTTCATTATCTTTTTTCATATTCTCCATACAATTTCCAGAGTGATTTTTCTGAAATGCGAACACAGTCATGGCACTACCTTCTTTACACCTCTTCAATGACTTTCTCATTGTCCTCAGCATCAAACCCAAACTCCTAGCTATGGCATAAAGGAACTTTCATGATTTATTAAGACTTTTGTTACCAATTCCTAGACCTTCAGGTAATGTTAGATACTCGTTGCACATTGTATCACTCTCTTTTTTAGCATTTAGGGCAAGGTATTTGACATCTTTATTCATTTGTCTTCCCAACTATAGATTTTTATCCTTCTTTATTGCCTCACATGCTGATGGAAACATAATAGAGGCTCAATAAATGTTTGGAAAATGAACAATTAAATGAGCAGGTAGGACTAGTGCAGTAGTTCTCACACCTTGGGGCAAACTGCCTAACCTCCCTGTGCCTCAGTGCATTAGAATCCATAGGGATGTCAAGGCAGGCAGACTACAGACCACCACATTTGACAAAAACATTAAACCAGATATCCTTGTACTTTCTGATAGATCTAATATGCTATGGGGCTATCATTTTTCTCTCATCATTTGATTAGTTTTGGTGGATAAGGTTTGTTTGGGGTAAGGGAGGAGTGGGTTGGGGTTTAGGGTACTTCATCTGGAAAAGAGGAAAAGAGAGGGAGCATAGAGGTATGTTCATAATTAGTTTTTTCTTCCCCTTCTGTGATTTTCTTCTTTGCTGGCAGAACTGGTGCACGTCTTTGTATCTTAGGGAGTAGGGATGTGCAGGGAAACTGAAACTCTCAGTATATCAAATTTAATGTTGATTCATTGGAAATACAAACACTTGAATTTATGCAACTTATGAATGGTACATTACCAGGAATTTTACCCAATTCTGAGGCATCAGGAAGGACACATAAGGGATGTGAGTGGTCTGAGGGAGCAATTATATGATACAGAATCACTATTCAATCAATACGTGTTAGGTCATGTATAAAGAGGCGAGTTTTTGACTCACTGTTAAAAACCCTATCATGGTAAAGACATTAAATGTTGGTGTTCTCTAGAGTTCTGACTTTCTTTATTCCCAATTTCCACATTCTCCCTGGAAAATAATGTTCATTCCTGTGGCTCCAGCTTAAGATTCTTCTATAAGTTCTATTCTTGACTATCAACTGTTGCTGGCCATATCTGCCTGGACCTTCTTTGGATACTTCCAACACAGCATGTTCACAACTGAGTTCATCATGACCAGCCCCTCTGCCCCAAACCTGCATTTTCGCTTCTGCTTTTTATCCCTCAGCTGGTGGTTCTTCCTTTTACCCAGTCACCCAGAGTAGTTATCCCTGTCTCCTCTCTCTCTCTCATCTACCATGGTGACTCCTCTCTGATCTGCCTTCAGTATTCTCACAACTACAGTTTCAGTTCAGGCTCTCACCACCACTGTGCTTCTGGACTACTCCAATCATCACACTGCACGTGTCTATTAGTTCCCTACATCAGCCATCTCCAATGGGTCTTCTCAGTTGCTGTCAAAGTTGTCTATCTCAGATGCAGTTTGTTTCAAACTACTCAGTGCTTTCCTGTTGTGCCAAGAAGAAATGCAAATTTCTTAGCACGGTGTGTAAATAAAACTCCCTACGTTCTGGCCTCTGCTCATCTCACTATTTCTGCACTCCTAGGCTGCAGTGAAAGCCAATGGCTTGCAAGTCCCCAAATGTATCATTTAGATTCATATCTCTATATTTTTGTTTAAGCTACTCTTTCTGCCTGGAATGTTCTTTCCTTTCTTGTCCATCTAATAAAAATGCAGTAAACTTTCTAGTGTTAATTCAAGTGTTAAGACCCCTATAAAGCCTTACCTGACTATCAGGCTTCTTCTCACAGAAATAACCTATCGCTCTCTCCTTTGTGCTCTGTGGCACATGGCCCTGAACACGGTCCAGCAAAGATACCTTTTTATACATGGTGAATTAGATGATGGGCTCCTCGAGGACAGCATAGTACAGTGGTTAAATGCATGGATTGTGAAGCCAGAAAACCTTACTCAAATTGTGATTCTGACACTTGTTATATGGGTGACTTTGAGCAAGTTATTTCACTCTCTGTGCCTCAGTTTCCTCATCTGTAAAGTGGGCATAATCACTGTATTTATAGGTTTGTCATGAGGATTAAGTGAATTAATACGGTAACCCTCAGAATATTGACTAATATATAATAATTGTTTGTGTTTGATATCATACTAATACTAACATTAATATTATTGTTTTAAACTTGAAGGTCTAGGCCATGATATTTTATCTGACACATGGAAGAATGAAAAATATCCAATAACAAAATTCATAATCAGAGGCTTTGTAAGAGGAACCATTTATTAATTCTACCTATTTAATGAGTATATGGTCTGAGGATAAGAAAGAAAGGCTATAAAGAATGGCCTGTTATTTTCAGTGCTTATAATTCAGATGGAAAAACCAGCCATGTGCACAAATACCTACATCACAATGCCCTCTGTAGGATTTTAGGGGATCCCTGTTTCTGATCAGAAAAGGTTTTACGGAGTGGCTAAAACTGTAGTTGGTCTTGGTGGATGGGTTGGATTTTCCTAGGTGGAAAGATAATAGCATCCCATGCTGAGGAAGAGGCATGAGGAAAAGTGTGAAAATAGATGTATTTGGGGAAAGGAGAACATACAGATTACTTTGGCAGAAAGAGGGATTTATGCAGGAAGCAGAAGTAGAAGAAGTCTGCAGATAGAGATTTGGAATAGTTTGTGGTGGGCTTTTGATAACAGGCTAGGATATTTAAAGTTTATACATAGATAATGAAGAACTATGGAAAATATTGAGGTAGGGAATGGGAAAAGGAAAGCAATGTTGTGGGAATAGTAATTGGGCAGCAGTATGGCAATACATAAAATGGAGTAGAGTTCCTGGGCTAAGTTATGTTTTTAGGTGGCCGGATACCCAGTGAAAATATTCAGCAGATGGTTGGAAATGCCGGATTATTTGAATTTGGGGGAGATATAGATTTGAAGTGATCTGCATAGGACTGATAGTAGGAGACTTGGGAATGGTTGAAATAACTACAGGGGACAACAAAATTAGGGCAGAAGTTCAAGCACAGATATATGACCATAAAAAATAAGATGAAAAAACAGGTGACAGTATGTTGTAAGTGAAAATGCAGTAAAATACGAACCTAGGAAATATCTGGAAGCCTCTTTTGACTCATGAAAGCATACAGAGCACACTTTAAGAAGCACTACCTTAAGGGAAGAAGCTGTTAGAACTTGGGAGTAGAGGAAGGAGAAGGAAATATCCCCAATGTACCTGTTGAGCAGTCAGATCCTGTCCACTTGGGATCACAGCTGCATACTCCAGTGTCCAGAAGAAAAGTCCCATGTCCTGAGCACTGCTCTTGACATATAGGAAGTGGAGTTTCACAGTTGACTCCTCCCCAGCCAGTAGAACAGTGACATTCTCCTTTTACACAGATGCCATGGCTGGAACACATTGGGTCTAAGCAGTCCTCTGAAGGCCCATAAAAGAAGGGGAAGGGGGAAGGGTAACGTTAATAGGGAATAGCTATGGCCAGCACACCTTAGGATAATGAAACTGAGATACATTGATTTTCTAGTATTATATAATTAATGCTGCTTTAATTAGGCAATAAAATGATTAATGCAAACACAGTGTTCAAACCAAAAGATTACTAGCACTTAAAAATATGGTAAGGTACCATAAAGTTTGCAATCCAAATTTAGAAGAAGGAAACCACACATATGCTCTGTGAAACTGTGAACAGTGTTTGGTACCGTCATACAGATTGGTGGGTGGACCAGTATGGACCTTCAATAGGAATTCCTTGGCTTTGCAAAACAAAACAAAACAACGACAACAACAACAACAAAAACCCAAGAGTTTTTGGTAAATCATTCCTTAACCTTTCCAAAATTGGAATGATAGCTCCCAGAAAGAACTTTTACTTGGTGGTCTAGAGAAGTTTATATAATTTTTTAAATCTTCAATTATTCAAAGTATTGGGTGAAGTGACTGCTGTTGCAAAAAATAATAAAATTTACGTTAGCTTATTATAATCTCATTTATTACTTAGAAACACTGAAAAATGCAACATTTTAAAGCCAATTTAAAATTTATTTTTTTCATAGCTACTGTTTCTCAGGACACTGTGACATAGTTTTCAATGTCTTAGACCAATTCCATTTGTCTCTGATTCTGTGAGTCTGGAAATTTTTGTATACGTTCTAACAAATGTATAAACTATTTTGAAGGTAGGTTCCTATGCTTGCCTTGGGAAAAAACTGCTTTGTGCTTTTAACTGAGTAACAATTTCATGGGAAATGGGAAGGTTGATTTCCAAATCTCTAGTCTTACCATTTGAGTGATATGAAACTAAAATAACCTATGATAATGAGGATGAGTGCTTTGAATTACTTTTCAAGCAATGAAAATAGACTGATATGCCTGCTTGCATTTGCAAGACTGCCCTAGTTTCAGGGTATGGCTTGTGGCCATGGAACAGACTAGGTCTACCTAAGCACTAATATTATTAGTATTATTGCAATTATAATTAGCCCAAGATCTCAGGGCATTAGCACAATACTATAATACCTGAGCTAATCAGCAAATAAATACTAGAAAGTACATCTAATTAGATTCATCATTTGGAGGGAGAGAGAAAATCCAAAGCATAGAATATTTTTTAGAAGGAGGCCATTTTGTTATATTAAAGTACAGCAATTTTAACAAACAAAACAATATTTAATTTAATATAACTCATTTTATTAAGAGACTTGCTTCAATGTATTTGTGTAAGTCATACTTAAATCAGAGGCACACAGTCACAGGATTATAGGCTCCAGTCAGGTGGCATACATAAATAAAATGGGCTGAATATAAGAAAATTAGGTGTGTTGGGAGCAAACTGTAAGCAAATGTCTTGTTTAAAGGGAATTGCTGCTACTTGGTTCTAGTTGACTGCCACTATGTAGCAATGTGAGCCCTTGGTCACCAGATTTTCTAGTGTTCAAGAGAAGCCAGAAATAGGAATTTTTATATGATACTTCTCTATTTTTAAATTTTGGCAAATAAATCACATTAAACAACAACAACAACAACAACAACACTATATGAGCCAAGTAAAACCCAATTTATAGGCCCAGTTCAGCAATGTCTTTCTTAAAACATTTTTTTCTATTGTATCTGAAAAATTTATACTGCTAAAGATGATGAGCATTCTTCTTTGCTATCTTGGTTATTCTACAAATTTTCTTAGTGAACCCCAGAGAAGACAAATTCAATCTAAGTCCTTTTCAACTATTTATAAAATTTAAATTAGAAAGGTCTAAATTAATCAGGTTACATGTCTTTCATGTCAAGTTGTGGATGTTGTAATAGACACCTTTTTTTTTTCTGTATGTGTGTGCCCATATGGCATCTGAATTTTCTACTTAAATATAATGATTGCAGTTGAATCACCATAAAAACACTTTCCAAAAGTAACTCAGGAACTCCAGTGCCTTGTCTAGGCCCAATGCCATTCGTTGGAACAGATGTAATCTTTACACCAAAATTTTACTATTGTTAATGGGAGGTGGAAGGCTGAAGTCTTGCTTGTTCATAGAGTGGAAAAAGATTAAAACCTTAAGAATGCTGTGTAATAGTCTTAATGAGCCATCTTTAAAAAGCAATTATAGTGCATTTTAGCAGTCTCTTTCCTGAACAACAGTTGTGATGAGACCATCCCATGGTAATGGTTTAATATTATTTCTGAAATTAGTCTTGTTTGAGGAATATGGCATGAAAAAGGTCTGATTACTAGTAAACTTATTTTGCAATGTGTCTCTTTAAATCATAAAACTATTGCCATTTTGAAGTATTATTTTTTGGCAAAGACTCCTTTGGGGTGAATTTAATATAAAGGCACTGCTTTAAAACTCATTAGTGGTAATCCTGCTTCCATAGGCATGGAAGTCAAGTTTCAGAACAAGGTATGTAAAAATAAATAATGTAATGCAATAATAATAATGGTAATTACAAATCACTCCCAAATAAAACATTCACAAAATGGCTCCAAATGGGCATATATTATTATTTTCATTGCTTTAAAGTGAGATGCAGCATTAATGCACTGTGTAATAATGAAAGCATATGAATTAACACCTAAAATCATCAATATAGAAAATCTCAGGTTATAAAACTGTGTTAGAAATGAGGGAGAAAGTACCATTTTTCACTACTACTCTGTGAGTGTCACAGATATGGCATCATGTATAATATTACAGACTGTCATAAGAGACATAAGCTCCCCCAACTCTAACCCCCTGATCCATGTACAAAAGAAATGTTTAGCATTTATTGTTTGCAAAAATCACTTGCATCTCTACTAGAAGCATAGAGTGACACCTTGGACAATTCAGTGAGAGAAAAGCCTAGAGCAAGAGATTAAAATGGAGTTCTGACCTTCCTCGCATATTTCTCCTTTGTATCCTGGCACACAGATGCAGACTCCCATGATGCAGGTGCCGTGACCAAAGCACGTAGGGTCAATACATTGTTCTTCTGGAACATCGCACTCTGGCCCCTTCCAGCCATTCCGGCAGACACAGTGTCCTTTCTCATACTCTCCATTTCCTCCACACAGCACAGGGCACGAATCTGAAGGTTGTCAAATGAACTTGTAATGTTCTTGTAATGCTTTCAAAATCTCCAAAGAGCAATTCTTTATTGATTCTTGTGTAATATTCAGGCAAAAATTTATACTATTTCTGTCTTACCCTTTATTAAAGTTCATGATTATAAACATAGAATTTTCCTACTATGGGAGTGGGGTAAAAATAAATTATAAAAATATCCTGAGTGGAGAAATTATTTCAAGTATTTAATTTTGATCCCACCATACGCTTAAACTATTACTATTATTATTTACAGTTAGGGGTTTTCTCTCCTAGGGGTTTTTACTATTGGGGTTTTTCTCCCTCAGGAAGATGTATATTACCTTTAGGAAGCAAAACCTGAAATTTAAAAAACTAATAAATAGTGAGATATTCATATTATAAAATGTTATCTTTAAAAAGTTGTGTAATTATAGATTTATACTGGACAGATGTCTACTCCTATAACTCACTGTGCAGACCTTTATTAGAACACTTATTCTGCTTTGTCATTGTTTGTCTCCCTATTAAAACTATGGGCTTTTTGAGGACAGGGCCTATACCTTCTGTCTTATTCATTTTTTAATACCAACCATCACCTCTACCTCCACCCCCAATCTCCTCAAGATCTATCATGGTGCTGGGAACCTAGCAAGTACTTCAGAATTCTGTTGAATGGAATTTAATCTAAAGAAACTGAGTATCTGAGAAACCTGAGATTAATATATTAGCAGACTGGGAACTTTAAGAATACATTGAAAATGAGCAGAAGGCATCTCTAAAGTAGTAACTATAAACCCATGGGAAATCATGGTGTGATTTACTTAAAGCTTTTCAAGAATTAACTATGGGCAAGTCTGGGAAACAGTAAAGTTGGCTAAGTTTAACTTCCTACTTTCCAATGTTTACTTTCTAGGCTGCTTACCCATTTGGTGATTACCAGCTCACTCCAGTTACACTGGTGTGTATAAGCAGTTACCAACTTTGCTCATTTTAAAGTCAGTCCATTATGAATTAAAAAAATATTACAGTTTTTAATGATGGTAGTTTTCAAGCATCAGATAAATGTACAAAAACAAGATCCTCCATCTACAGCAAATAGAGCAAAATTTGTTTCTGAGATGCTACTGTGTATCAATGGTGCACGCACAAAACAAGTTGCCAGTCTAGACAATACAACAGAGAAATTTCTAAGGGCTATTTGCAGGATTATCTCCAGCATAGTTTTGCCAGAATACCAAATCATCCTTGTATAAATGGAATCAATGATCAACTGAATTATGCAGGTGCCAGTGAGAATATCCACACATGCAAACAAGCACACGTGCAGACTGTCTGGATTTTAGGGCAGAGAGCAGTAAAAGACTAGGTTGAATGTTGCATTTTCAGTGAGGTTTAAACTCCCACAGAAAACCCAAAGACCAATAAAGCAAAGAGATGATAAGTGGTAGCTGTAAGATGATCTCTGTTTTTTAAAACAATGTTTTATTTTGTTTTTATTGGTTATGAATATTCATGGGGTACAAAGCAAATTGTCACCACTTGTGCCTAGGAAATATAAGCATCATGTAGTGGTTGGGTCAGACAACCTAGACACAAATCCCAGCTGTTAGGTAATCCTGGCTAAGCCACTTAACCTCTTTGAGGTTGTTTCTTTGACCATAAAACTGGGATAATAATAAACCTATGTCATATGGTTATTGTAGGAAGTAGGAATCAAAAGAGGTAACACAAAGTGTTTAGACCAGTGCCTGGCATAATAAGTGCTCAGCTTTTGGTGGTGGTGGTGGGGGACATTGCTGCTGTTATTGCTGCTCCTACTGCTGCTGCTATTACTATTTATACTAATTCTGACTTCTCAAATGACATCTATTTCCCTAAACTAATCAGAATTACAGAATAAGAAAGAAAGACACAGCAATCACAACAATACGTTGAACTTTCGAAAGGAGAGGACAGAACTGAGGTTACCAGAGATGGGTAAGGGGAAAGGGGGAAGGGAGACAAGGGAGGAATTGGTAAAGGACCACGAAAATTGATTACATTGTATAAGTTGAATATACTAATTATCCTGATTTGTGCATCACATGTTGCACACAGGTATTGATATTCATCTCTGTACCCTACAGATGTGTACAGTCAACTATGTTTCAATTAAAAAAAATAAAAAAATAAATGAATAAAGGATATGTCAGACACACACAAAAAGAGTTACGAACATTACCTCTAGCACAGTCAGGTCCAAGGAATCCTGGGAAACAATGACAATGGCCAGAGATACACTCTCCATTTCCATTGCAATTGGTTGAACAGTCATCCATTATTTCTATTAATACAAAGAAAAAGGAAAGAGGATGAACAAACTTACAGGATGTAGAGGCTTTAATTTTTTTTAAGTTGCAGGAACTCTGGGCCTATAACCATTTTGCCCTCTGCTATCTATGGAGCACTTCCTGCTCAAAATCAGATGACAAAGACTTCTGTAAGATGTCACATGCAGTACAAAATTATTAAAAGAGCTCTGGATTTGCTGAATTGGCTACTCAAGAATAGAACTAAAAACCAGTCTCATCTATAAAGTGCATAAAGCGTATAGAAGAATGGTATTCTTGAGAGACATTCATGATAAAGCTAAAATGTACAAGAATTATAAAGCATTTTTCAAAAGCAAACAGGCCTAAAAATGCAACCTGGAAGACTAAGTCTACTGTTTATTTTTCAAATTTAGGTTGTAGCAAATAAAGTTTCTTTTCTAGCAACTTAGAATATTTAATCTACTGTCTTGACAGCTTAAATATGATAATCAGTATTTCATTTTCATTAATAAGTGACAATGGAGGCTTTTAAAGTAAGTGTTCATATTAAATTCACCACCACTAAAAGCATTAGAACCTAAGTATTTTGTTGAGAAATGCTTTCTTGACTGTAAATGCTTATCAGTTCTCTGCCACTAATTTCCTTTCAATCCATTCTTAGAGAAGAATAGGTTTCAGGGGAATTGAGAAGTCTTTGTATGTGCCCATAGGTAGTTCTGGTGACATAATGATGTGCAGTGCAATAGAACTCTGATAAGTCTTGTGGTAACTTCTCTGAAAAACTGCAAAGTTATATAAATGTCAGTCTCTGACAATGAAGTTAAAAATTGTTTATAATTTAAAATTGTATTTGAGTATAATAATGATCAAATTCTAAGTCCATGAACTATTATGGTACTTATTATTAACTCTCAGTTTTTTGTATGTGTGTTTTTTTTTTTTTTCCTTTTTGTCTTTTTTCGTGACCGGCAACGGATCGCAACCCTCAGTGTCGTGCCCGTACCGGACCGGGACCGGCAACGGGATCGCAACCCTCGGTGTTGCGCCCGCACCTCGCTCAGCCAGTGAGTGGCCGGTCTGTATGTGGGATCCGAACCCTCGGTGGGTGCGCCACCGTGCTCCCAAGCGGCGCACTATAGCAGTGCGCCACCGGGCCGGCCCTATGTGTGTTTTTTTTTAATACTCTTCTCACTACTCCTTTCTCCTTACTCCTTTTCCATATTTAGCAATCTTGGACTCTGGCCTATTAAACTCACACTTCTCTTATGTACCAATTTTTCCTTTTTCAATCCAAATTGTCTGCCTCATCAAGTTTCATTTGGATAAGCTATTTCTGATTAGAAGGAGAGATTTTAGAAGGTGGTCCTGGCATTTTCCACTGAACAATGAGAGTGAGAATTTATAATGAGGATTGAGAAATAGCATTTCTATGATTGCGGTCTGTGGGCCACTTGTATCAGTAGGTTCACCTGCGGCACTCAAAATGCAGATGCCTGGTTTTCAGCCCTAGATCTACTGAATGTGTCTCTGAGGGATATAGCCCAGTCATCTACATTCTAACAAACACTCCAGGTGACCCTGCAGGTGCTCACCACATTAAAGCATTAATAAATGCTTTAAATAGTAAACTTCCATAGTTAGTGAACTTGTGATCTAGATATTGGAGTTCTGCCTTGGGCAGAATAAAAGCAAGACGAAGAAAGTGGTATCTAGCCCATTTGGGGGATTCTTAGAAAGATGAGAATGAATCCAGTGGCTGTGTAGATATGCTAGAATCAAAAGCCCCTGGGTATTTGCATCTGTACTAATGATAGGTTTTACTTCTGTCAGTTTTTCTCATGGGAGAAACTAAACGTAATGAATATTCTTATGGAATAAGTATGGTCTAAAGGGCATGGGCTTTGGAATCAGACATGCTGGGTCTCGAATCTTAATTTTGCTACTTGCTGTCTGTGAGACTTTGCCAAATTATTTATTCTTTCTAAGACTCCATTTCCTTACTGGTAATAGAAGTATCACTTTCCCTGAGTTATCAGGGTTGTGATGAGAATCAAACAAGATAACTGAATGTAAAGCAACTAATAAAGTGCTTGGGGCAGAGTGGCACTCCATAAATGGTATATATTATTATGTTACAGAGCAGGTTGCCTGAGATTAGGTGATATTGACAGTTCTGCTTATGCTACTGAAAATAATATATATTACTATAGGCCACTGTCTGGCCTATATTAGTCATTCAACAAATGTTAGTTTTAAATTCTTTCTCAATCCTTGTTAATACCAGACCAAATATAATTAAGATCAATCAACTGATTCTAACATTATCATGACATAGATGAATGAACAGCATTTAGAACAAATTCATTCAAACCTTACTTTGTTTGTCAGCCTCTTTTTACTCTGATTAAGATAAACTATAAAAATGTTTAAAAATAATGGGGAGAATTTATGGTAAAGGGCTTACTTGCCTTTTGATTTTTTTGTTTTGAAATTCCCTTGCATTTTCTTTAAGTGAAATAGTAGGAGAAATGTTTCTGATGCTTCTAATCTTAAAAAAGCAACAGAAAAGCAAAGAAACTGACTTGCATTAGCAAAAAATAGATATGAGGGTACTTCAAAAATATGAGGATACTTCAAAAAGTTCCTAGAAAATAAAATTTAAAGATAATATGAATCTTTCCACAAACTTTTTGAAGGACCTGTGTATGTTATCGAATATGAAACTAACAGTTTGATATCTGGATGACAGGAATTGGATCTCAAATGTTAGGTTCTTTACGGGAGGAACTGAGGAACAGGAAAAAAACTCCAAGCATGTTTCTGGGGCTATTGATTTTTGAAAGCTTAACAGATTGGTTAGTGTTTTTAACTTGAGGTTAGGGGTAAGGATAACAGAAAGAGAGAAAATCTTCACAAATATTTTATATCTTCTAGTTTCTCTAATTTCTTAGGGAAAACTCAGCTTCTCATAGCGTACTGGCATTTGCATTATCAAAATTAGGCCTTGATAGAAAAATATCATGAAAGGTCCATCCTTTGAAACTGTCCCACCGAGTCTATAAGTGGCAAAACAGTGACATGACTTAAAATATTTTTTTCTAATTTAACAAATACCTTGTCTTTTGAAGATGTAAGATCAGTGGAGTTTTTCTCTAGGGGAAAAAAGCATCAGTGTAATTTTATTGCCTTTCTGATTACTTTAGAGGAAAGTTTCTGATAATCTTATGGCTGGAATACCATTTTCTACTGACTCAAGGTCTTCAGCATAGAATGTAATTGTTATAAAGAGCAGATGGTATATCTATTAACAGTCAACACATCTTACTAAACATATGGCTGAACAGGTTAACTAAAGGATAAAATTGTGAGAGTTGTATAGAAAACTGACAGCTGTAAAATATTTTCTCTTCTTTTAAAAGACGTGCTTTAGGAAAATTCACACAATACAATACTGTGTCTAAGAGTTGATTACCCTTGGGACTCTAAAATTGCTAAAGAGCTCAGCTTTATTCACACAAAGGGTCATGGGGAATGAATTCACCATAAAAAAAAAAAAGGGAAAAAGAATGACAAAAGAGTGAGATGTCTCTGACTAACTAGGGTGAAAGTGGATAAAAGTGTGTATAGGTATTGTATTAAAAATAACATGTTTTAAAAGGCCCTGAGCACACTGAAAGAGCCATTGGAATAATTTTCAAACTAAAAAATTCTAAAGGAAAGAGATTTGAATGACCCAAGTTACTGTTAGGTTATATTTTGAAGGCTTAATGGTTCTAAAATCAGTTGTTCTAAAGAACTGTACTGATGCTAGTTTTTCTATTTTAAAAGGTATTTATTTGCTTTTTCATTTATAATAGAACTTGAGTTAACAGGGCTTCTCTTGCTTACTCCCTTCTTCACTGAAGTTGTTCATCTACGAAGCATTGGTATTAGTACTACTCAGATCATTATTCCTGTTGAGAACATATAAAAAGGCAAACGGCAAGTGTCCTAGAATAGCAGCAAATAACAGAACATTTACAAAATCTTTTTTTTTAAATGTTTTATTTTTTTATTTTATTTTATCTTTTATTTTTTTATTATTAATTTATTTATTGTTTCAATTTATTTTTTCAATTATTATTAGCATATTCATTATTACAAATCATGATTTTTCTTAATCAGCATTTAAACATTATCAACAGCAACACAACTTTTCTCATAGTGATCTATCCTCAATAATGACCTTAAAGCAGAATTAGGAATAAGCTTAAATAACACTCATATCACTTTCATCACTGACTGTGTCTTTCTAGAGTTATACTGTCAATTCGAATAATAGCCAAGGCAGCTTACCAATTGCTGTAGTTAACACGAATACTTGCTCCATCTTTTTTCCGTCATTGTAAAATGCTAGATACCAAGGCCCTTGATCCATATACTCTATGAAACCTGTCTCCTGAAGTGAGGTTAAGATTAGGTTACGAGGGGAGTGCTGGGTATCTTCGGAGCCCTTGGAGTCGTGCTTGACCAGTTGTTTGCCATCCATTAGTTTTACAAAATCAAACTGGAACAAATACAGATACAAATATGAGCAACTACTTTTACTTCTAGACTGATAAATATCTCTAATTTCAATTGCCCTATTTCATACTTCTTTGCTTTGGAGGTGGGCAAAGCGGAAGAGGAGGTTATTGATTCTTGAGTATATTTAAACTCAAAAGCATATTATTAATTCTGAAAAAAACCCTCACTATATTTATAAATGTTATAAACCTTTCAGTTTTGGAATATTCAAAATAATTGTTTAAAAATGAATAAACCAAGAAATAGAAAAAAAATCTTATTTAGTATTATGCAAGAGAATCTTGACATTTTACTAAAGTATCTGTTAGAAGATACTTGAAAACATACATTCTGCTCAGAAATGTTACTGTGACCTTCTCTCCAAATTAAAAACAGTTTTTATAGTTTTTAAAACAAGTAAATGAACAGTCAAAAGTTGAAAACATGCATCATAATTTACTACCTTTGTGGTAACATTTAAATATTCAAAGGGCTTTCCTCCCCCTTTTTTTCTAATCAGTGGAGAAGCACATAACACGTTTCCTTGAACATTTTTTTTATGAGTCATATTTAAATGGCATTCTAATTCCCTGCCTATTCTGGCCTTGAAGGTAAGGTTTAGCCTATAGTCATATCTGTTGGGAAAAAAGTAAGTCCAGATGTTTGACTACTTTACTTCTTAGATGGAGCAGGACCCCAAGTGAGTTCATGCAGGGAAGAAATAAGGGAAAAACTCAACAAGAGAAATGAGGTGATTAAGGTTTATGGAACGGCTATGTAAACCATAGAGGTTTTACATTTTTTGAATTATTATTAGCAACAACAAAGAAATATTCTACCCGTAAGACAAAACCTGCCTTTTAGACTCATTTCCCAGCAATTTCTGATTGATGTGCATTCCTTTGTTGGGACAAGTGGGTATGAAACCAGTGAAGGGGCACTAAAGCTGAGTCAAATGAAAGGGCTGGGAAGCTCATGATCATCCTGCTCCAGGAAGGAGAGGTCAAGTATAAAGGATATTTTCTTAAACTCTCTTTTCTGAATCTGCCCTGCTAAATGTTATTCCTTATTTTTCCATGCCATTTTTTTCATTAGTTTGAGGGTGATTATTCTGGATATTTGCTTTTTATAAATATTTTTCTGTCCTCACCTTTAACTCCCGCACACTTTACAAGTCCACAAAGCCTGGGGTTCAAGAAAATACCTATAATTGATATTACCTGAGTATGTGTAGGTGGAATGTTTCTTCTGCCATAAATTCCCAGCAGAGAGTCCTTGGCTAAAGAAATATTGAATTTCAGATATATTGGATGGTGGATAGTAATCTGGAAACGCCAGAATAAGCCAGGTGGAATGGTCTGCATGACCTGTGCGCCAATGTCAACTTCTCCGGTGTCTATTGCCCGTCCCTTCTGAAACACTGGTTTTAAAGGTAGAGAAAATTATACATCATATTAATCTTAATTTATAAAGCAATGGTTTTCAGCTTTTCAAAAACATATATATCAAAAACAACTTAGCTTTTTCTTTATCCTCACCCTACCCATCTTTCAAGGCCTTGCCCAGAATAAATATCTTCCAAGGAGCCTTTCCTAACCAACCACTATGTCAGTCTCCCCTTTCTCTTAAACTGCTATTGCATTTATTTCAATCAATTTGATTCATTTTAACCATTATTTACTGAGCACTGTCTCGGTAGCTGCAAGAGATACAAAAATGAATAAAATGCAGTTGTTGCTCTCAAGGAGCTTTGAAAATAGCAGCGGAAATAGGACAAGTACACGAATAACCACATTGTAAAGGACAATAAGTGCTCTGCATATTCAAAGGAGGGAAAGGTATTTGGTTGAAAGATGTTCCTCATCCCTAGCTGTCTCTATCCCCTTTATCATCTTTTATTTCTCTTTAGCACTTATCAGCATCTAACATAGCATATATTTTACTTATTTACTGTTTATTGCCTGTTTCCCCCCAACAGAATGTAAGCTCTGTGAGGGCAAAGATTGTGGCTGTTTTGTTCATTGTTTTATTCCTAGTACCTAGTAGAATGTAGGCAAATGTAGGCAAAGCATGTGTGTGATCAATACGTATTTATTCAATGACTGAATAAATGAGAAAAGGGTTAGTATGGGCAGTGGCATTGAAGATGAACCTTGGAGGAGGGAGAGGATTTCAACAGAGCTGTTAGGCAGGGTGTGCCACATGGAAAGAACAGCTTGACCTAAAACAAAGAGGAGGCAAACTATAAAGCTAAAGTGTGGGGTATGTGTATGTAGAGAGGAGTAGTTGAAGATAGGGCTGGCGGGAAAGGATGTCATCACATTCTACAGGGCCTTGAGTGCTAGTCAAAAGGGTTTATTTAGTAAGGGGTGGAAAGCCATCAGTGGTTTTTAAGAAAAGGGGAGAGGCTTGAGTACATTAGAAAAGCTAATTTTGAGGCAGAAGTTAGGATGAATTAGAACAGGGGGACACAAGAATAATATAAGACTTTTGGGGCAATGATTCTGATGAAATGACATGAAGATCTAAATTTAGGGTGGGCCCAAACAGGTCATGTAGAAAAAGTACATTCCAGTGAAAAACAATTTAGTGTGAACAAAAAGAAAGTGGAAGATATGACAGACAATGCAAAGGGAGATTCTCTAGCAGAGTGTCTCAAACTTTGATGTGCATAAGAAATGAGTCTTGTTAAAATTCAAATTCTCATTCAGTATGTCTGAAGTCAGACATTTCTAACAAGTTACCAAGTGATGTCCATGTTGCATGGTCCATAGCCCACACCCTGAGAAGCAAGGTTCTTGAGGACATTAGGTGTAGGGGATAAGGGAGGGTCAAAACTTACTTCATGATTGTGAGTTTGGGTGATTTAGATAGTGCTAATAGCAAAAACAAGGAACATAGAAAGAGCTGGTCTGTGAGGGAGAATGTTGAGTTTGGACAATCAGAACTTTATCATTTATTGTCATATTTTGTAGTTATTTCTGATGTGCTAGTTTATATAAGTTTCTGTGAAATTCTTTGATGTGGTGTGGGGAGGGAAGGGACACAAGAGGAGGAGCAAGAAATAGTTTACCTTGATTTTAAGCAAGGAGGGCTACACCTCAGGAGGGAAAGTTGAATTTGGCCTCATTTCACACTGACTTTATATTTTTCAGCCATCAACTCTTTCTCCACATCAAACACAGTTTAAAAACACGCATGGTCTCTGTCCTTTGTGTTCACCCACTATAAGATTAACAACCCATTAAGAAACACACCTGCAGTGGCTTTATTCAGAGGCCAATGCCTTGTAGCTTTTAACTCCCTAAAATACTTCCATTATTGCTTTTTGTGTTAAGGCCAAGAGTAATAACTATTTTAAGAATGCTCACTGTTAACTGTTAATAATAGATTTCAAATGCAATTTTGAACATAATTATGTATTGCAGAATGCATAATTTTGTGGAATTGACATTTATAATAAAATACGCCCTTTGAGATGATAAATGACCAACTGAGAACCTTATTTTGCACACAAAGTTACTTTTCTCCATGTTGGACAGGGCAATTTGGTCCCCAAAGGGTTGATCATATATTTAACTCTTAAGGTCTGGGAGCTGACAAATGTCTTCAATGAGCAGGCAATTAACAGACCATGTTTATGTGGATACTTCTGTTATCAACTTAATGTTCAGTTTATTCAACTGCTATCCTCATTAGGAGCTTTTATCACTTCTTAATATGTATCATTTGGTGGTGCAAACAATATTATAAATATAAGACAAGTAAAAATATTCTAAGTTCAACAAACACTGGTTTAAAGATTCTAAGAACAGCCTTTAATGAATAGACGCTGTCGTTTTTAAAAATCTGGGCCAAACTGGCTGATGGACATTAACCTTTATATACAAGCCCTACCAAATGCTACACTATCTCTTCTTTCTGCACTTTATACCATCATATATTGTATGATAAGGCTAGTTAAATGTTATTCACTAAACTGACGAAGTTATGTTTTGGGGGTTTCCTGGTTATTAGCATTACTATGTATCTGGAGTACATGTGCATAAGTCATTTATAAAAATGATTTTAAAGGAAGACAGTCTTCCCCTTTGAGAGCCTATATTACAGTTAAGATGAGGTAGGTGAACAGAGATAACATCCGAATGAACCTGTGAACTATAATTTAAATAAAAATAGCAAAGCAAGCTGGTTTTGGTGATTTGGTACTAGAAAAGAGAAATTCTCACAGCTTGCAGGTGGAAAATTTCTCAGCCTCTAACCTTTCAGTGCTTCATGCTTCAGAAAGGAATATATTTCCCTGTTAGCAATCTATACCACTGAATGGCCTGCTTCATTTTATCACCTCTCAAATATAGTGATTATGAGTTCATTTGTTATTTTGCTATTTTGCTTAACGTAGCTCAAGGATGGTGAAAACTAAAAGAAGAAAATTACACGCAGAAAAGCAATACAAAATGTGATTTTTTGGAAGAAATTCTGCATTAATACAGGTAAGTGGAATAGATTTGGCCAAACTTAACATTGACTGATCCTTTGTTTGCAAATTGTCAATAGCAAAGTTAAAATAGAGTACTGAGGTACAGTTTTTGTAATACTTGTTTTAACTGTCATTTAATCACTAATTTTACTGAAGCATATCAGAAGGCCTAGGAAGACTATATTCTCCAGGAACACAATACTTTGCCTTGTACAAATTCAAGATGAAAAGCTGAGAGCCATGGATCATATCAAACTGTGAAGTACTATAGTTATCACAGTCTCACCAATATCCACCAATTTTGTTTGAGATAAACACTCTCTTTATAGGTTGCAACACAGGCATCAACTGCTGAGCAAGAAAAACCAATGGCAGATAGGCTGTGTTGAAGGACGGCACACTAATTGAGGGTAGCTTAGTTCAAAAAGAAAAGGTCAAGCTACCTAGAAGGTAAAAAAACAAAAACAAAAACAAAAAAAGAGGCCTGTAATTGGTGACAAACACTGCACGCAGTGGCTGTATCACCTAAACCCAGGTTTCATTTTATCTAGACTCAGACACATACCTGAATACTAATAACATGATTATTAATAACAATGTCCATATAAAATAGGGGGTAAATAACTATATTCTGGACATATACATGTATTTTTTTCTACTTAATATAGGTAGACATGCTACATTCAATGATTCTGTGCAAAACTCAGTCAAAATTGATAGAAGATACTGACACATGGTCATTAAAAGGATTCTACTATTAGGTCTTTATGTAAAAATGACTAGGTTAAAGGCTGTGGTATTGTTTATAACAGCAATCTGAGTAGTCTTTTGAAGACATTTGAAAATTTCATAAAAAGTGTCTAAGCTGTGTTATTCAAAGAGAAGAGAAAGAAATATTCATTAAGAGCATATTTGGGGCTGGCCCTGTGGCTCACTTGGGAGAGTGCGGCGCTGGTAGCGCTGAGGCTGCGGGTTCGGATACTATATAGGGATGGCCAGTGCACTCACTGGTTGAGCGTGGTGCAGACCACACCATGCCGAGGGTTGCGATCCCCTTACTGTAAAAAAAAAAAAAAAAAAAGCATATTTGTCTTTCATTTCATGCTATACAGCATGTTCAAAATCTTCAAGACATCGGTGTGGTCTTTCAGCTGAATTAGTTCTAGTTTGTGTCTCATGATTTAAGTAACATCTTCTTTATGTTCCTTTAAATATAATATTTGCTTCGCAGTAACAAGTCCTTATAAAATTTAGAGTATTAGTGCCCAGAGCAAAATGAGAAGGTAAAATTAACCCTGATTCCATGTGATCGGAAGCTGTGAAGAGATCAAAAGGGAACAGCAAAAGCCATCTAAAAGGTAGATGGAAAAGCTGCCATTTGCGTCTACATAGCCTCATATAGTTTTCTTTAAATGAGCTGTTGGGGAAAACTATGTATTCAACTCCCAATTTTTCAGGGGCAGATTATAGAAATTCTGTATTACATGTGCTTTTTGTATCCATTTTATAACCTAAGAGTAGTCAGGAGAAAGAAAAAGAAGAATTTAGGGCCGGCCCGGTGGCGCACTGGATAGTGCGCCGCTTGGGAAGCACGGCGG